ATGAGGATAGTGAGGCTCAGGTTAGGGTGTGTAGAAGAGAGGGAGACTACTTCCCGGTAAAAGTAGGTCTTAGACAGGGATGTGTAATGTCACCATGGTTGTTTAATATATTTATAGATGGGGTTGTAAAGGAAGTAAATGCTAGGGTGTTTGGGAGAGGGGTGGGATTAAATTATGGGGAATCAAATTCAAAATGGGAATTGACACAGTTACTTTTTGCTGATGATACTGTGCTTATGGGAGATTCTAAAGAAAAATTGCAAAGGTTAGTGGATGAGTTTGGGAATGTGTGTAAAGGTAGAAAGTTGAAAGTGAACATAGAAAAGAGTAAGGTGATGAGGGTGTCAAATGATTTAGATAAAGAAAAATTGGATATCAAATTGGGGAGGAGGAGTATGGAAGAAGTGAATGTTTTCAGATACTTGGGAGTTGACGTGTCGGCGGATGGATTTATGAAGGATGAGGTTAATCATAGAATTGATGAGGGAAAAAAGGTGAGTGGTGCGTTGAGGTATATGTGGAGTCAAAAAACGTTATCTATGGAGGCAAAGAAGGGAATGTATGAAAGTATAGTAGTACCAACACTCTTATATGGGTGTGAAGCTTGGGTGGTAAATGCAGCAGCGAGGAGACGGTTGGAGGCAGCGGAGATGTCCTGTTTAAGGGCAATGTGTGGTGTAAATATTATGCAGAAAATTCGGAGTGTGGAAATTAGGAGAAGGTGTGGAGTTAATAAAAGTATTAGTCAGAGGGCAGAAGAGGGGTTGTTGAGGTGGTTTGGTCATTTAGAGAGAATGGATCACAGTAGAATGACATGGAAAGCATATAAATCTATAGGGGAAGGAAGGCGGGGTAGGGGTCGTCCTCGAAAGGGTTGGAGAGAGGGGTAAAGGAGGTTTTGTGGGTAAGGGGCTTGGACTTCCAGCAAGCGTGCGTGAGCGTGTTAGATAGGAGTGAATGGAGACGAATGGTACTTGGGACCTGACGATCTGTTGGAGTGTGAGCAGGGTAATATTTAGTGAAGGGATTCAGGGAAACCGGTTATTTTCATATAGTCGGACTTGAGTCCTGGAAATGGGAAGTACAATGCCTGCACTTTAAAGGAGGGGTTTGGGATATTGGCAGTTTGGAGGGATATGTTGTGTATCTTTATATGTTTATGCTTCTAGACTGTTGTATTCTGAGCACCTCTGCAAAAACAGTGATAATGTGCGAGTGTGGTGAAAGTGTTGAATGATGATGAAAGTATTTTCTTTTTGGGGATTTTCTTTCTTTTTTGGGTCACCCTGCCTCGGTGGGAGACGGCCGACTTGTTGAAAAAAAAAAAAAAAAAATATATATATATATATATATATATATATATATATATATATATATATATATATATATATATGTGGGGGGGGGAAGAGTGAGAGTTTGTCTCGTTCGATAAACTTGAAAAAAAAAAATAAAATGTGTTGGCTATTAGGGGGCGGGGTAAGAGTCGAATGGTTCAGGTAATACGGGTTTTAAAGTACAAAAAATAAAAGTTGGAACGTATTTTCATGTTGCCGCCTGAGAGGAGCAATAGATATTCCTTATTTCCCGGAAAATATTTGTAAATTTTACGGGAGAAACCAAAGTTATGTACCACCCCCGGTTGTCCTTGTGTATTCCTGGTAGACGACTGAGACAATGTCGTCTTCAAACTTGTCGCCTCTCCTTTATAATATTCAGTCTTAAGTTAAAAATATAATTTACATCTAAAAGAGCATAAGAAAGATTACTTTCAAGCGAGATAGATATATATATATATATATATGATATATATGATATATATTGGAGGTACCACCTCTGGAACTGGACTGCGGACCCTCATCACAAAAGAAAAGAATAAACTTTCTTCAGAGAAAACTGGAGGTTCTCCCTGGAGCTGTTTCAGTATTTTCTTCTCCTACCACCCCGTATATTATGTATTCTATGTGAACTTTATTTAAAGACAAAAGACAATACAATGGGGACTAGAACAACATAAATAGCATCTCAGAGCCTACATCTCGAATACTTGGTCCAGCTCCCTGGCGGTGGACTGCGTGCCCAGAATGCTGCAGGCATTTTCCCTCTGGATTGAAACACCTAGTCTCTGAAAAAGGAAGCAGGCTGCTCTGTGATCCTTAGTTCTGTGACAAGCTTTTTCACCCAGCTCTTTGAGGAACGTTAGAGCACACTTGACCCATGCTCTAAGGGGGTCTGACCCTACTGGGATGAAGTTATAGCAAGAGGGCAGACCTTCATATTTACGGTTTTTCTGGGTCTCAGTGTAGCTGGTGGCTCCACCCCCTTTAGCTTCAGAGTATGGCAAGTAGGTGTCTGCCAAAGTGGCGGCACAGGTGTAGTCCCAGGCGATTTGCTTTCCATCCTTCCAGGGTACCATATTGACTCCATCAGGACGCTTTTGACTTCCGTCAGACCTCTGTACTTGAGGTTCCCGTTGAGCTGGGCAGTGGTGTGGCGATACCTCTATGATGTCATTGACCTCCTCATGTCTAGCATACTTTCCTTTTGATGCATGACACAAGAGACCATGAAGTCAGAATTGATCAGCTGACGCTCTGCCTCAAATACACGTATGTTTGGTGAGTATGGGGGCGGCTAGGCGAAGAGCAACACCAATCCAAATGGCCTGTGGGTAGAGTCGAGTGCCCAGGGAGGAATTGGGAACAGCTAAAGGGAAATCTGAATGGTGCCTTCATCGCTGGGAGACTAACTTTGTCCTTTCCTGAAGCGTTGGTGAGCATTGTGTTGGCAATTTTTTCCATTATTGGTTTGTCCCAGTTGGACTTTGTGCTCTTTGGGAGGAAGTGGTCTGCTTGAGGGGCCTACAAGGGTGTCCAACAGCATGGCTGCTTCAGTTAACCTGGGGTAATGAACTCCTACCGCACCTCTTAAGCGTTCGGGGACAATCTCCTTGATTAGTCCATTGGAAACCAAACACGAGGACAGAAATTCAGGTAAAGCTACCTGCATTGCCTTGCGCACTTCTACACTTCCCAGTCGCACTGGAAGAGTTGCCTGATTCCATTGCTGGTCTTCTAATGACAGATTCAGGGCCTTGAAGATTGATCTCAGGTGTGAGTCATATTCGTTGAGTGTTGGGTTGTCAAAAGAGGGCCAGCGAGGCTCTCCGCCTCGCTGCCCCAATTCACACAGAATATACGTGTATTTGCGGTGATGCCCAAGCCGACCAATATGGTCTACGTGGTCTTAACTGTTCCAAAACAAAGGGCTGGCATGCAAGACACAATGAAGTCAACGACATCATAAAGAGAACCCTTGCTACAGCTGGACGCCCAGTCGAGAGAGCCCCGATCACTTGCAGCCAACAATACCCACAACCGAGCACACCGGCCCGACGGGATCACCATCTGTCCTTGGAAGAAGAATGGGAAGTTCTTAGCATGGGACTATACCTGCGTGTCGACCCTGGCTGACACCTACATCCGTCAGTGTCGGGCGACAGGGAGTAGTACAAGATCGGCAAGTACAGGGATATGAGCCAACAGTATCAATTTGTCCCAGTTGGATCAGAGACCTTGGGATCATGGGGAAAAAATGCCACACGTTTCCTTAAAGAACTGGGTTCCAGACTCATCGACACAAAGGACCCAAGGGCAACCACTTTCATGTTCCAGCGCCTCAGCGTGGCCATCCAGAGGGGAAATGCCTGCTTCATACTGGGCTCGCGTCCGGCTTTGGAGGATCCGGAGGAGATTTATAATCTTTGATATGTTGTACCAATGTATTCATGTTTGTGTTTCCTGTCAATGTATTCTGTCTATTAATAAAGTTATATATATATATATATATATATAATATATATATATATATATATTATATATATATATATATATATATATATATTATAATTTTTCTGTCCACAACAGGATTCGAAACTGCACACACATCAAAATACTTAATCCACAGCTTAAAGTAGATATTATGTACTTAGGAATACGTATATTATTAACACTTAAGAATTTATTTTAACTAAAGTTGTTTGGTCACCTATAAAAGGTTGATTTTTGGACAGTCATAATTACAGTTTTCTAATGGGGCAGTGTCTTCCCACACTAACATCTATAGGGTGGAGTTTGTATAACTGATCTGCTAAACTTCCTTATAGCCTAGTCTAAATCTAGCAGTGGACACCAACATTTAGTTGATAAATCTTATTACTTCTTAAACACGGGTAAATTATCTGCTAGTTTCTCCGAAATAGCACTTTTTTTTCCATTTTTTAAAGTTTGTATATTTATATTTGGACAAACCACAATTCTTTTCAGTGATAACTCAACCAAAACATATATTCCCTGAGGTTTGAAGATGACAATAAAAAACATTGAGTTCGACTTGAATCCCTTTCATAATTTGTGCTACTGTCCGTTCCGGATTCAGAAATTATGCATGTTACACCAGTATCTTTAAGCATTTTATAGCAAGTAATGAAGACGATGAGCAAGCCAAAAAAAAAATCCAAATTTGAGAGCAAGTATTGTAAACCGTAATTTATAAGGTAGGAACCTAGTTATTGTTCACATCTATATTTTATTTGCTCATTCATAATAGCTCTTTCCGCTTTAAGTACCAACTTTCTTATTGATTTTGGTATCGAAGCAAAGGTCGCAAGAACAGTGCCTTGAAAAAGCTTACACGTTTACCACTACAGCATCCCAACTTAGGCTAATCAATAACAGTGGGTCATTGCTGTAGTACTAAGAATCTCTGGTCAGTATCATCAAAGCCCTGAGGGGTGATACCTGAGTGGGCGGTGTCAACGTTGAGGCTACCATCCGGTAAAGTAGAGAGTAGGTGGGTGACTTGTGTCTCGGGACGCATATAGAAGGAGGAGGAGGCGAGCAGGAGTGGCAGTACAGCTAAGAGAGACTTCCAGCATTCTTCTCATCCTCACGAGACGCGTAAGAGGACTGAGAGACAGTCCCACCTGCCATACTGAGGAGAACCTCACGACGTCCAGACTATAACAGAATTTTATTGGTGTCTTGGCTGGAACGCTTGTTAAAGACATTTTTATATGGAGTGTCAGCAACCACAGGAGATGTGGTAGGCTGCTTATCCATGGTACTTTTTGTATCGTCTGAAAGACATTGACTTGTGAAGAGATTTTGTAATATATGTGGATGTGTATATAAGTTATTTCATCCACAGACATAATTTATTACTTGTAAATAGTTTCTGAAACATGATGAAGACGGCAGTTATGGTTATGGTGGCGTGTATAGTGTGCCATGGAGTAGATAACATAGTGAAAAATAACATTACTCTAGTACTGCCAGATGGGCGCCTGGTGCCTTGGTGGCCGGCAGTTACCAGTGTTTCTGGTGACCCAGCCTCAGGCATCAAAGTCAGAATTACTACCAAGGTAAACCTCGCACACAACAGACAGACTTCTTCCGTCGACATTCCTATCAAGAAAGTGGGGGTAATGCGAGATGAACAAATAGCTGGAACTGAAGATAGAGGCGATGATAGCGAGGAGATTAAAGATCATATAAAGAAGCCCTGTGTAACTTGTGGGAAGACTTGCACAGATGAGAAGAATGACTCCGGCAAACCAGGAGTGAGGGTGCCCACTGTGGTGGTGTGGGACACCTCCACCAGTCAGTACACGGGTCTCAATCTTAGTGTCATCGAGCGAGGCAGTTTCAACACCCCGTCATACCACATATACTACAGTACGTGTCTCTTACAACTATTTGGGTTTGTTGTTCCTAACAGTTTTATGGCCTGGTAGGTAACGCTCTCCCCTATGTCCGTGGTTCGATCCCAGGTAAGGTGGAAACGGGCGTATTTCCTTACACCTGCTGTCCCGTAAGTAGGTACCTGGGTGTTAGTCGACTAGTGTGGGTAGCATCCTGGGGGACCGGGTTGAGGACCACACTGGAAATAAGTCCTCGATGACATGCAGCCTTTCTTGGGTTATCCTGGGTGGCTAATCCTCCGGGGATAAAAAAAAATCCGACGAACAAAATCTTATCTTCGGGGTTGTATGTTGTGTGTGTGTACACATACGTACGTCAGTCATACCACATATACTACAGTACGAGTATGTACGTACGTACTCCCATAATTGTGGTTGTAGGGGGTCAGTCATAGCTCCTGGTGCGTGTGCTCGCGCGTGCACGTACATTAGTGGTTGTAGGGGGTCAGTCATAGCTCCTGGTCCCACCTCTTCACTAGACACTGGTGTGTGTATGTATATGCATTATTTTTTTCTTATTCTCTCTCCCCTTCCCTGTTTCTTTTTCTTTCTCTTTCCCACATAAACCAGTTCAATATTTTAGTAGGTGGGGCTCATACTCTGCCATGAAGTTTTAAAAATCTCGCAACACGACATTAATATGCATTAATCCATTACAGTTTAACATAAAAAAAAATCATAAAACTTCCCGTTAGTTCCTCAGAGTTGTCACATGGGGGTAGGCCAATTAAAACTAGCTTGATTTTTATGGGGAGAGAGATATATAGAGATAGATAGATATACAGATAGCTACTCACTACAGGTTCGGACTTGCTGAAGTTGGTATTTCTTATTAACAGCTGTCTGGTGAAATAACTTACGAATTCCTTTTAAGTAATTATTTGTTATTGATGAACAGACTTCACATTATGTGCCCATCTTGACCTGACATTTCTGCTGGGTAGAGTAATGGAATTTATCATCCTGAGCAGAGACAAGAGAACAGTGAGAATATTGTTAAGTTTGATTAGGAATGTATCCATTAACTACTGCCTGGATGCTTGGACAGGGTTGTTTAATTGCTGCTTACCATTTTACCTTCATGTAATCTGTTGTTTCTGCTGTATGATAGTTCATTTAAATTATCAGCTTTCTTGTGCGGCAGGATCCTCTGCCTCAAGTCCGATTAAAAAAGATACATCAGTAGTGTGCTGCCACTAATACTGATATATTTACTTGGTTAGACCTTTTTTTTTTTTTCCCCCAAAAAAAATCTGCCAGAGCAGCTGCTTTATCATACACCTTGTAGCCATTCTATGGAAGGTAGTGCTACAACATATGGAGACAATTTCTAGGAAAAGGAGCTATGAATAGTTATTTAATAAGCCATTAGGTGACTTTTTAGATGTAAGTTTTTATAAAAGATGACACTGGCGCCATAATGAATGGGGGAGTATGGGCATTGTACGAGCATAATTAGAAATACGTAACTAGTAATTAACATGTTTTATTCGTGAAAAATATGTTGACAATGTGAACAAAAGCTGATAAATTTGGCAGGAATAGTACTAAAAAAATTACTTCTGTCATTTACAGGACAAGATAAAAATTTAAACGTCTGGAGGATAAGTTCGGTGAAGTTTAAAAATGCTAAATCTGTACAGAAGTGGAATTATGTATTGTGCATTGGGTAAGATTTGTTTGTAGCAAGATATGGGAAAATAGAATAGTCATGGCCAGGATTGGTTTAGCTTGCCTATTTGTGGCAGGTTATTGTAGTAATCCAGGACGGAAAATAAATGTGGAGTGGAACAGAATACAGGACCATACAATTAATACCACAAATATAGTAACTTAAATTTAGTAACTAGCAAAAAAAAAAAAATATAAGCTGATGGTTGTACTGTCTTGGCAGAGAACGAGGATGGGCCGCTGTCTCCATTCCATGATATCCCACTTTTTTCTAATGAAGGAAACAAGATTTTCAATATGGTGGTAGAGGTGCCACGCTGGACCAATGCAAAGATGGAGGTAAGTGGAAGATGACAAATTGAGATGTTTATGTACTGCATGGTGAGAGATACTTGATATAATTATGAAATTTTATCATCGCCTGAGATAGTTTTAGGGTATGTTAGGTAAAAGACACATGTGCAAGTAATGCCACATACATCCTTTTACCAAACATGTTATCGGTAATTCTACCAACATTAGGGTATGTTGAGGCATTGTTTTATTCTGAGTATGGTAAATATAAAGTGATGAGTGCACTTTCCTTACAGATAGCTACGAAGGAGCCCTTGAATCCTATTAAACAGGATGTGAAGAAGGGTAAACTTCGTTTTGTTGCCAACTGTTTCCCTCATCATGGCTACATCTGGAATTATGGTGCCCTTCCCCAGGTCAGTCTGCTTTTATGTTGAGATGAAACAAAGGGAAAAGTCAGTCTTGCCCAGTGTGGGTTTTTGAAATTGTGCTATATATTTGAGGGGCAGTTGTATTGTCAATGCTCTGAATATTCTTGTCTGGCTTCACTGCAACATTTACTATGATATATGCTGTAGTTGACAAACCACCATTAAGTTTTATACATAAAGATTTGTAGATCAAGTAAGATTTGAGAACACGGTAAACTCTCTCATAAAATGGAATATTGAAAATTACATCCTTGTATGAATTAGCATTATAATAAGAGGCGCTAAACCTACTAGGGTCATACAATGCTGCATATGAATTACCAATATTTGAAGAACATGTTGGGGGAAAAATAGGGAAGTTTCAGAGACCTTCAAATTGGCCAAATTTAAGTATTCCACTAGTTGCAAATTTCTAATTTCTTACCTTACATTTTAGTTAAAAAATCATTTGTATTTTAGACTTGGGAGGACCCCAGCCACATAGACGAAGCTACCGGCTGCAAGGGTGATAATGACCCTATAGATGTGTGTGAAATTGGCTACCGTGTTGCCAAGAGGGGCGAGGTCATTCAAGTTAAGGTAAATAAATTGAACTACACTACAGCCTACCACCACTATTACTACTACTAGAATACACTACTTTCCTCAGAACAGTACTTTTAATTTAATCTATATATTTCTGGTAACTGCATCTAAAGATTGGTTATTGACTTTGCTTTGTTAATAATTCAAAATTACTAGATTCAAAGATATATTGACATTGCATAAGCACTTGATTTTCTATATGTTGCTAAAGATCTGTGTAAATCTAGATGCAAATTTACTCAAGAATGGTTGTACTTAATTTAATTTCCTTAACTTTGTTTTATTTTCAGTTTCATCACTGCTAGTAGTTTTTATTACCTAGTTTTACCTTGGGATGATCTTGCATGTTTTGTATTTAATTTTTATTGCCAAGAGTGCAGAGAGGGATCTTCCAGGTCAGAACACACTACAGATCTCGAAACTCATTTTACTAGTCTCATTTAATTTCAGGTGCTGGGGACTATAGCCCTAATTGACGAAGGAGAAACAGATTGGAAGCTCATTGCCATTGATGTTAACGATCCCTTAGCACCACAGCTGAGTGACATATCTGATGTGGAGAAGCACATGCCTGGCTTCTTGAAAGCCACTGTGGAATGGTTCAGGATCTACAAGATACCAGATGGAAAGCCTGAAAACCAGTTTGCATTTAATGGAGTGGCGAAGGATAGAGACTTCGCTCATAAGGTTTGTACATGTCTCCTTTGCCCACAGAGAAGTTTAAATATTATTGATACCCTTAGCTTGGTAAGGACTGGAAGACACACTTAGTCAAATTTTAAAGCATGGTTTATATAGGTTAGGGTCTGGGCTACTGCTGTAAAGCAAAAATTTCTGTAAAGTGAAACATAGCCTTTTTTTCATTTTCAAATGCATATAAAAGCTTGATAATATGTTTACATTATCATATTAATTGAGCAATAGAGCTAGGCTTAAAAAATGTATATACAGTACACACATTAGTTACCTTTTTAAAATATTTTTGTCCTTAGCTTGTAGTGAGTGGTGAATATATTTACTCTAGGAAGCCTAAATGAATGAAGAGTGGTTAAAATTGAAAACTACTGTATTATTGGAATGCCGTAAAGCGAAGCACTGTAAAGCTGAGCCCTCCTGTATAAGAATAGACTTGGGAATATTTTGATGCAGTCAAACTGCCATGATGCTGGTAGATATATTCATGGAAAAGCAACAAAATAGAAGGGGATGATACCTTTCCATTATATACATAGCCATTCAGAATGTGTAACTAGATATTAGTGACTGTTATAATGACACTATGACCACAATGTGTTAATTTTCCTATGATGTATAGAAATATACATGGACGAATCTCGTTAGGCTAGCATGGTCATCAGATAACTATTTGGCCTGCTTGCCATGGCTTTGAGTCCTACATGCAGCAAGTCTGTACTGATGTTTAGGTTACCATAATGGTGCAAGATATTAGATAATTTTATAACTGCAATTTCATAGCCTTGACATTTATATTGGATAAATGCAAGGCATCTGGCAGATATTTGGTAGGTGCTGTATTAATCTTGGAACTTCCTGTTGATGAGCCTTTATATTGTATTTTAGTACATTAATTCTTTTAGTAAAGTACAGTAGGACCCCCATATTCTCAGGGGTCCTATTGTACTGAAACTGCAGATAGTAAACCCTACATGTAAGTCCTATACATACCTATTATGAAATTTAATTGATAAATTATGCACAATAAATGGAGAATTATCACATTTACACTGATGAGAAGCACTTTGTGGCTTTGAAGAACTGCCAGCTTCTCTACATTTGCACTTCAGGGCCATTATTATGCAAAATAGAGGCATTTTGGGGCCACAGTAAACTGTGGATAACTGAAACTGTGGAGACCGAATCGGTGGATACAGGGGTTCTATTGTACTTAGCTGGTATGGTAAAAGGAAATAAATTGCTTTGCATTTAGAGTAGATAGTGCAAAGTTATTTTTTATTTCAGATAATCATGGAGACCCATGAAGCATGGCAAAATTTAGTAGAGGGCAAATCTGATGCTGGTGGACTGAGTACCAGCTGTGTTTCTGTTCCAAACTCGGCAAGTAAACTTTCTGTACCTGAAGCACAGAGTGTTGTGGAAGAATCTCCTGAACCAAGCCCTGGACAGCCTTTGGATCCTAAGGGTTAGTACCCACTTAACTGTAACTTCTTTACCCAGCTTTCAAAGTCCAGGCATTCTACAGGCAAGCACAAATAGTATTAATAAGGTAACCATTTTGAATTTGACATTGTATCTAATGCCTCTTCATTACAGTACATACTAAACACCCTCATAAGGGGGTGTTATCTTTTAAAACTAGTTTCCAAATGCTGAGCTGATCATTCTGACCAATATTTACTGAGTATTAGTAGTTTGTGTAATGGTACATATTGTATAGGGCAGAATATTTCAATAGCTTTGGGACATTCATTTTTCAGCTGGCAGTGATTTAGTTTTTGGATACAAATGTGCAACACCAGTGGTACTGAAGAAATGACAAGTGCAGTGCAAGCTTATATTAATTTTTTTTTCCGTTTAGAGCTTTAAAGTTGGTACAAAGGATATAAGAATGTGCGCATGTGTGCTCGTCCATGCATTTGCTCATGTCTTGCCTAGCCTGAGAATCAAACCTAGATCTTGTCGTGTAGGAGCCAAGCACTACCACTGAGCAATAGCTCATTACAATTATGATAGCAAGGAGACTAATAATTCCAGTAATTGCAGTACATGCATCAGTGCTGCATGAATAAATAAGGGAAAAGTGAAATATTTCTAGGGAAGGTGAAATGGGATATACTACATTGTTACCCTAGGGCAGGGGGTGGGCAACCTTTTTAAGTGTGCATACCAAAGTCAGCCATATCTTTGATACAAAATCTCTGGAAACATATGGGGACTATTTTCCCCGTTTTTCTTGGAATGGATATGTGATAATGTCGCAATTTATTTTGTTTGAGACGAGACCAGGGGTTAGCATGCCGGAAAGAAGTCGTTGGCGTACCAGGTTTGGCATGCGTGCCAAAGCCGAGTTGCTTTGCTAGGGCAAAGCAACTCTGCATTTTCTCCTTTATTTTTAGGCGACAAAATAAGCTGTGTGCTATAATCCTAATGTAAAATAATTTAATATAATTTAACCTTCTAATTTCAGTTGACCTCTGGCACTACATCAGTCTCAAGTGAAATGGATCTCCCAGTTGTGATATTTCTCAATTGAATACTTCCCTAATCAGAATAATTTCCAGTCTGTGATGCCCACCTTTGCTCTTATCCTCACAAATTGTTAATATCCACTTGGCTTGACAGTACACAAGTGTTGTATAGTATTTAATATAGAACTACCCATTCTGATTTATCTTGATTTTGCATTTCAAAATTTTTGTTGTTGAAGCAACAGGTATTCTAATGTATGGATTAGAGTATAACAGAACATAATGAAGTTTAAGTATGCTCTAATCTTATTCCTCTGAATTTTATTAATATAATAAATTTTAGTTATACTGTAACAGCAGATAATTATCCAAAAAAATCTGTTGGATGCACATCTCAACAAACAGCAATTTGAAGATAATGCCAGTGTCCTTAATAAAAACAAAAAGGCTTGTAGGTCATGATCTTATTCTCTTCTCACTTAGTGACGTACTCGCTTACCGATGCCTTGGACTTACGACAGGCTCTGACCAGTATTCATACCCTAAATAATGTATATTAATACTGATTTCCTCTATTCTATTTATTTCGGTATATGGAACACTACTGTATAAACATTTAAAAATATAGCAGAAATGTTATAAATGGTGCAAAGGTGACATTAAAATAATATCAAAGATGGTCGACACAAACTCGCTACTATTATAGAGCCCTTTGCCAGAACCAAGGACCTTCCTAATTATTATTATTATTATTAATAATCATAAAAAGAAGCGCTAAGCCACAAGGGCTATGAGCAGGGACCTTCCTAAAAGGTAAATAGAAAAAAAAAAAAAAAGCTCAGCAGGTTTATCTCCTGCTGTGAATACAGTAAATGGAAAGTTAACTTCCTGTGAGAGTGGCTACTGAGTACACAGCAGTTACCAGTAAGAACTTTCTTGTACAGTTGCAGACAGATTATGATAATCATGGGGGGGGGGGGGGGAATGGAAGTGGAAGATATTCAGGGATGGAGCTCCGATCCAATTCCTAGATCAAGAGCCCCTCACCAGCATCAAGGAACCTCCTTTGAAAAGAGTTGCAGAAAGAAGTTTCTATCCTCTGCTGGGCAGAAGTGACATCTGGCAACTCAGATGTAGTAAACTGAGGAGTAAAGACTAACTTTCATGAATGAATTAATTCAACTTTTAATGGCAATGGTGACTGGTTGACAAATTGAACTGCTGGTACTTTGTGTATCTATATAAAAGTAGATTTATGAATGCAGATATGTATTAATTGCCATTTGGATATTATATCCAATTTTATAAAATCGTAAAAAATGTTTGAAAAGGTGACCGAATATATTGAAAGGAAGTGTCATGATGGTATGTCCATAACAATCATACACCAATCGTATCTGTTTGTGTGAAGCATAATTTTGCTTTAAGAGTTGGTCCCCTTAGATGCTTAGTGGGATTAGCACTAATTATTATTATTATAATCAAAAAGAAGCGCTAAGCCACAAGGACTATACAGCGGATTAGCACTAAGATATGAATGTAATAATAATGAGGCTGTCTACATAATGTCTTGCAGGATATTGGTAATTTATATAATGCAGCACTTTTATGTTATTTTTCAACATGTAAATAATAGCATTTGCCTGTCCTGGAGGTGGGAAGTATAGTGCCTGCACCTCAAAGGGGATTTGGGATATTTGCTGTTGAGCAGGACATTTAAACTGCCATATCTACAATTATTATTATATCCAAAAAGAAGCACTAAGCCACAAGGGCTATACAGCACCATATCTACAAGCCTCTGGTGAGTGAATGATTGTGAAAGTGGTTCTTTTCCAGGCCACCCTGCCTCTGTGGGAGACAGCCAGCATGTTAAGAAAAAAAAATACAAATTACATATGTACATGTATACGTATTTTTTTTTTTTTAACACATCGGCCGTTTCCCACCAAGGCAGGGTGATCAAAAAAAAAAAAAGCCTAAAAAGAAACACTTTCATTATCACTGGCACATTATTATTATAATCAAAGGGAAGCGCTAATTATTATTATTATAATCAAAAAGAAGCGCTAAGCCACAAGGACTATACAGCAGGGAAGCGCTAAACCCAGAGGATTATACAGCGCCTGGGGGGGGGGGATGTGGAAGGAAGTCAGGCTTAATTTGGGGATTATTATTATAATCAAGGGGGAAGCACTAAACCCGTAGGATTATACAGCGCCTATGGGGGGATGGAAGGTATTCAGCTAATTCAGGAACTTGAGCACAGATACAATTCCCTAGATCAAGAGCCCCTCACCAGCGTCAAGGAGCCTTCCTTGAGGGGTTAATTTGGGGAACTGGAGCACAGATCCAATTCCCTAAATCAAGAGCCCCTCACCAACATCAAGGAACCTTCCTTGAGGGGAGCACTGGCACATAATCAGTCTTTCCAGAGGCACCCAGATACGACGGTTTAGTCACTCTGAAGTGCCAATATCCCAAACCCCTCCTCTAAAGTGCAGACACTGTACTTCCTATTTCCCACAAACTCTGATGATGATGCCTCTAGCACTCCTCACAGCCCTATCTACCTCACTTTCTTGTTACCTTTCTACCCCTGCAATATCCACTGCCCTGCTGCACTCCATGACCTAATAATAATCCCCCTCTTGCTACCCAATACCCCTGCATCCTTCCCTACCCTGCTGCACTGTTGACCCTTGTAATTTAGCACTTTTTGATAACTTCCCATTTCTAGGACAAGTCCAACTAACTGGTTTCCCTGAATCCCTTTACAAAATATTTATATTTTAACCCTCTTCCTGTAGTGTAGTGTGCTGAATAAAGGTTACTACATTAGGGGTTAAAATTGGGTGTGGGTGAGGTTTGGTCACTTTTAGGAAAGTTCCACCATACCAGTGATTATTATAATCTTTAAGTTCTAAACCCACAAGGGGTATACCAGTGAACTATTCATTTTAAGATATTGAACCTGCCCAATTTGACAATAGCACTGTGCAAGTATGTCAACAATGGTGGGTACAGCAGAAATAAGGCCTGGTCATTTTTACATCTGGGGAGTGCTGAAGCCATCAATAGGGAAAGGGTATTAAATTTGTATTTTTCTTTTTAAATTAAAATCATTGGGATATGTTAAACCCATAGGATTATGCAGTGCATGTTGTGGGGGGGGGAGGTGGAATGGAAGGTATTCAGGGAATCGGAGGACAGATCCAATTCCTAGATCAAGAGCCCCTCATCAGCGTAGGAGCCGAGTGTTAATCGGGGAAACATTAAACCTGTAGGGGTCATGCATTGCTTAGGAAATGGTAAGTAATCAGGAAGGGAAGGACAACTTCTTTGGATCAAGAGCCCTCTTAAGGTATAAAGTTTGGTTGGGCCACTCTGGAACTATATGCCAACCTCCAGTAAACTAGTATCAAAATGCCCTGAAAGATGACCACATCTCTCCTGACCTGCCTTAAATACATTCTTTAGGGACAAAGTATTGCATTCATGAGGAAGTCAATGTACCACACTTGCATACCCTAGACTGATAAAGCCTGCTTTATTACGTATTATAAATCATGGGGGTGCACTAATCCCATAAGGATTATACATTATTATTATAATCTAAAAAGAAGCGCTAAGCCACAAGGATATACAGCGCTGCAGGGCAGGAAGGAAAAAAAGGCGAGGCACAGGTGGCAAAAGGGAGGATGATAGCAACAGGTTACGGATAACAGCGGGGCGTGGTTGGTGAAAGGGTAAAGGGCAGCAAGAGGACTGAACAGAAGGGCTGAGGGGAGTGCGAAAAGTTATCATCAGAGTTTGGGGGAGTAAATCAGTCGTTTCAAGAAGTCAATTGAGAGAGTCAGGATTAAAGGAGGGTCCATCCAGCAAGAAGGGAAGGTAAAGAGAGAGGGGGGGGGTAGGAGAAAGAAGACGCCGTGGAGGTAAAATTCTGCGTGCTCGTTGATAGAGAGGGCAGTCTAACAGAAATGTGGCTAATCGTTACTGGAACTTGACACTGCTCACCCAGAGAGAACAGGGTGCCTCTCCTTGAGATTCCCATGAGTAGACGAGTGTTGGCCATGCGAAGGGGGAGGAGTGGTCTCCACAACTCTCGGCAACTGATGACAAGAGACGGCCAGTAACTATGCTGGTTTATAGATGAAGTTTGTTACCGAGCAGAGTTGCCAACGTTGTTGCCAACGGGTGCGAAGGTTGGGTAGCTATTGCAGCAAAAATAGTTAGAATGGAACACCTCGATAGAAATTGGTAGGTCATATACTGTTGACCGCGCAGCCAGTGTCTGCCTGTTTCATTGCCCTGTACGTCGACATGGACAGGGACCCAACAAAAACAATATCTTTATGTTTGGTGTGATACGGCGTAGCCAAAGTTGGATAGGAGAACTAGGGGATGAGATGTATAAAATTTTCGTATAGCCTGTAGAGTCATATGAGCACTAAGGGAGTCTGAGGACTACTACAAATGATGACACCAGGATAGATGCGATAGAATAGTGCTGCAAGAATGGCATTACAGTTCAAGCAGTAAAAATGCTAAGCTGAAGATAGTAAATGCCCTCGTACGACGCTGTCCTGGAAACACTGCTGCGAATCCGACGCCGTTCTGAAGATTAGAGCATCTGTGTACACAGCGGTGGGCATGAGAAGAAGAGTGGAAGTGATCAAGAAAAGAGAGCAGAAGCCTACCGTAGGCAGTTGAGCTTTGAGCAAGGGAGTGAGAAAGAACAGACCCGAACAGCTGGAACTTCCCAGGGGGTAGGGAAAAAGTGAGATGCTACATGAACATATAAAGGTGGTACTGAAGGGAAGACAAGAGTGAATGTAGGCGAAGAGAAAAGGGACGGAGCAAACAGGGGGCGTGCGGAGACGATAAAGAATGTCTACTAATATCGGTGACCATTCTATAAATGGAAGGATTGTGTAGATCGTGAGAGCGTAATAGTAAACGAAGGCAATGTGCATCACGGCGATCAGACAAGGATGGAACATTCGCTTCTGTATAGAGGCTCTAACAGGGGAAGGAGCGAAAAAGCACCAAAGGCACAAACGTAAGCCTGGTGATGGATAGAGTTCAAGGCTAGAGAGAGTAAGCAGGAGAGGCAGCGGAAATAAATCTGGTCACATAATCGAGTTTCGTATAAACGAGGGCTGAATGTAGGCGAAGCAGAGTTCGACGGATCAGCTCCCCAGGAAAGATGAGCAAGGGTTTTAGAAGGTTTAGCGGGCTGTATGACAAGTTGCCTTCAGTAGAGGTAGATGTGGGTTTCCAGGTTAAACCGACGGTCAAAGAGAAGGCCTGAAACCTGACTGTATCACGTTTCGGGGATACGGGAGCAT